TTGACACATAAAAATAACCATCACACTTAGTATTACATTTTGTGATTATTTACAAACTGACTTTCATTTACTGATGTACCTACGACATTTCTATTTCAAATTGTAAAAGAATAAACACTTTGTAAAAATAAAGAAAACATATCTATATACATTAAAGCAAAAAAAAACTGACTAATTATAAAAAAATTTACTAAATGAATAATTATTTGTGATGCATACTGTAAATTTTAACCTTTCTTAGCCACATTTCCAAGATCAGGTACTTGAAATCTTTCTGAACAATCTTTTATTCTATGATCTATTTTTTAAAAATAAATGGACCTTTATTTTATTTATTTATATGCAGTGCTGAGAATAGAACCCAGTGCCTCACACATGCGAGGCAAGTGCTCTACCACTGAGCCTCAACCCCAGTCCGACTATGATCTATTTTTTTCTTATAATATTTCCTTCAGTTTTTTTCAGAGTTGCATTTTTGTGGCTAATAAATCATGGCAAATTCTACTAAAGGTAAATTATGGTCAATTTTTTTCCATAATAAAATATGTAAATAGTTTAACAGAGTTATGATCACAAGTACAGTCTTTTTGTTTCTGTGTAGATTGACATTTTTGACAAACATTTTCAGGAGACATCAAGTCATTGTCATCATTTGTAATTATTTTTATTTTGGTACCAAGATTGAACCCAGGGGCACTTAACCACCGAGCAACATCCCTAGCCATTTTCATTTTGAGAAAGAAATTGCTAAGTAACTAAGCCTGGCTTTGAACTTGTGATCCTCCTGCCTCAGCCCTCAGAGCCACTGGCTGGCTCTTTGTGATTACTTTTTAATGTTTTATCAAATGTAAGTGTTTAAGAATACAGGAACTCTATGTTATTACATTCTAGTGGATAATATATCCAGTAAAAAAAGAAGCTCCATTCTTTTTATAAGTCAAGATACTTAAAAGGGACAATTAAATTTCAAATTTAAATTTCACACACTATTTGAAGTCTCATTGTTCACTATGGTATGACTTTTTAGAGTAGCTTCTTTGTGGTGTGTCATACACATTGATGATTAAATAAATAATAAGTTGTACAGCTTGGTAAAATGTCACAAAGTTATCAATACCAATTTAACTACCACTCAGAAAAATTTCTGAGTTCCCAGATGTTCCCCTATATAGCTTTGTCATTATCATAGCTATTGTTTCAGCTGAGAAAAAAATAACTCTCTCCCACAAAGAGTTTTATTAAGCAGTGAATTATTATTTTATATGTATTGTTAATTGTTGATGGACCTTTGTTTTATTCATTTATATATGGTGCTGAGACCTGAACCTAGTGCCTCATACCACAACTCCAGCCCAAGCAGTGCAATAGTTAAGTAGTTCAGAATGTATTTATGTGTGAGAGACGAAGTGACACACAGTATACTCAATATCTATTTGATTATATTTCACAATGCCATCCACAGAAAGAAACACCAAGAGTAATACCTACCTATTATTGTGTAACATCTGATCTACTTCTGTTTTGATGTGAAGATGATAAATTAGGTGAACTTATAAATGAGTTCATTTATAAGGATGGACAGTATAAGAATCAAATACTAGCATATGTGTAGATCCTTCACACAAAACCCAGAACAACCATTTAGAAAACCTAGTGCCAGCTATTCACAGAGTAATGTAGTGAAGTGGGTTCTCTTAGGTACATGGCTATAGGGTGGCAGATTCCCAGAAATTTCATCAAGAAAGCTTTTCAAATAATTGAAATTGCTGGATGTGGAGAAAGCAATAAATCACTTTGGTTTTTTCCCCCTTGTCCTGAATTTAGAATGAAATGAATAATAAGACATGGAAGACAGTCTGATGGGAAGATAGTATTGACTTCAATACTGATAAAACTAATCGTAGAATACAGCTTTTGTTTCCAGGCCAAAGAACTTGATAAACTCACCCAACTGAAACTCTGCTAAACATACATACTACCTAGGATAACTACCTTGAATGGGCAGAGAGGAAATGCCCCAGAACGTGTGTAGAGTGCCGGTGTGAGTTCGGGAATAAAGAATTGCTGTTTGAATCTACAAGGCTGTGAGTGGCTTGTGATTTTGTGCCCAGCCAGACTGCGGCAAGGAAATAACAAAATTAATCCCCAGGGCTAGTATGTTCAATAGATAGCTTTGCTAATTCAAAAATATGGCTCAATGGCTGTGAGATCTTTGTCAATGAATAACAAATACTTCACTACTTTCTATAGGGAGAGGAATAAAGAAGGAATGAGGAAAGAGACAGTGAGAAGGTCACGGTCAATCTGCACAAGAAGCAAAACCAGAGGAATGGAAGTGGTTCTTAACATTAGTTGTTACATATAACCTCTGTACAGAGACTGAGTGTATGTATAAATGTTGCCTTGAATTAAATTAATGATTAAAAACCTCACAAGCCAGGCATGGTGGCTCATGTCAGTGATCCCAGCAGCTCAAGGCTGACACAGGAGGATCATCAGTTTGAGGCCAGGCTCAGCAACTTAGCAATGCCCTAAGCAAATTAGTGAGACCCTGTCTCAAAATTTATAAATAAATAAATAAATAAATAAATAAATAAATAAATAAATAAATAAATAAATAAGGGCTGGGAATGTATCTTAATAGTTAAGTGCCCTGTATTCAATCCCAGGTACAAAACAAACAAAACCCTACAGTAATCACATATGCCTTGATGAGAATGATGAATTTGTCCTCAGAATATAATGAATGAATTATCTGGAAAAAATTACTGTGCCTATGACTGATGGTCTATATAGTATTAAAATATTAATCATATTAGCCTTTCAAATAATATATAGGCCTTGATAAATAATCTGACTCCAGATTCTCAGTAATTATACATTTCTCTCATTGACAATGCTAAGTAAAATTCTAAGGGTCTATCATAAATCAAAAGACAGGAAAAAGTGATTCTAATATGTATACTCGTAAACAACAATAGTTGACCTTTATTCAATGTTACAATTTAAATCATCAATAAAAGGCTGAAAACATAAACAATTGTATGGAAGGAAACAGTAATCATTAAGACAATTTTGGACTCATTAAAGCAAGTTATGTGAGAATAACACCATTAGCTTCTAATAAGGCTACAAGATTGGTAAGCTATTGAAATTTTTTTAAAAATAATAAGTCAAAACAAAATTGGAAGAATAACACTCGCAGTAATTTTTACTTTTACCTACTAAGCTCCTACTACACAATTTAATAGATGTAAGCTACTGGAATGTTTCTTTATACCCAATAAGAGCTTGAAAAACACGCTATTTTTATGACTCTTGTGTTATAAAAAAAAAATTGGGTAGATTAAAATATACCAGATAGTCATTAAAATAATTGGAATTGTTTTTGTTTTTGGCACTGGGGATTGAAATTAGGGGCACTCAACCACTGAGTCACATCCCCAGCCCTTTTTTGTATTTTATTTAAAGAAAGGGTCTCCCTAAGTTGCTTAGGGCCTTGCTAAATTGCCGAGGTTGTCTTTGAACTTGTGATCCTCCTGCCTCAGCCTCCCAGGCTGCTGGGATAACTTAGAGGCATGCATCACCATGCCCACCCGGGAGAAATTCTCAATATTATCTAAACTGATAAATCTGAACAGATTGGGGCAGATTTTTTATATAATAAGCTTGTATATAGTAAAAAAATTTTTTTTTTTTTTTTTGTAAAAAATTGTTCACACTTTGACTCATAATAAAAAGCTTTTGCTAAAGAGTTGGGGGGAAAAGTTAGAAAAATAAAATTTACTTGTAATCCGACTTTATCAACAATTTTTATAATTTTGAGTGTATGTTAGCTTTAAATCTTGGCTTACAGATATATATATTTTATGTAATTGTTATCATAGAAGAAAACACTTATCTTTTTCTTTCATTTGAGGTACTAGGGGATCACAGGCTTCACACATGGTAGGCAAATGCTCTACTGTTGATCTACAACATTTGAGTAGTCTCCACTTGAGCCAAATACATTTTTGCATCAGCTTCATGATCACAGCCCTTAGAAGCTGCATGAACTCAGTTATTTTATTTAAGAATTTCCCAAACAATAGAAATTAGATTGTTCAAAATTTCTATCACTGTAAGTAACAACATGACACAGTCTTTTTCCTTTAGTTGAATTAACTGAGAACTATCCCCAAGAGGACGATTTCTGAATTAAGGGTGAGAATGTTATTATGGTGTATGATATTGCTATATTATGATTTAATGAAGAAATGTACCAATCTGTTATACCTTGTGATTAAACAAATTTCACAATATAATCACTATACGCTTTTTATTTATTTATTTTAATCACTATACTCTTGATAGTTTAAAAAATATGATTGTAATTATTATTTTATTATTATTATTAGCTAGGTAAATAAGAAAAATAGCAAACTACTGATGGATAGAACAAAAGAGCATTCTTTTCACCAGATGGTATCTCAATAATACTTAAACTGACAGAATCCAGAATTCAGTGGATATAGATTACAACAAGTCATATTAATTTATCTTGCAACACTCTGGGGAGATACGGAAGCTACTATATTATTAGAAATATACTCATTCGCAGGCTGAAAATGTGGTAAATATATATGCAATGAAATACTATTTAGCCTTTAAAAAGAAGGAAATGCTATCTTTACAACAACAAATAAACCTGGACAGCATAATGCTAAGTGAAATAAGGCAAAGAAAGGCAAATATCACATAATTTCACTTATATATGGAGTGTAAAAGTCAAACTCATAGAAATGGCTTTTAGTGAATGGGGGGATGGAAGGATGGGGGATGAGGGGATGAGGAGAGGGTGAAAATAATTAAAAAAGTAATACAATGCAGATGAATGGAACACAAATAACCAATTAATTTAGGAGAAAGGTTAACTTCAGTCCCTAATCATAGAAGGCTAAAACCAAGGTAATAAATACAGTGACATTTAAGCTTCCACAAGAAAATTATGATGTATTTACCTCCACAAGACAGCTCATCTTGAAGCAGAACCAAGTGCATGGGGCAAGAGCACCTTGTAGTGCCATCTCCTTTTACAAGACAAATATGGGAACAGCCACCATTATCCTGGGCACAAGGATGCTGTCCTGGAAAAGGGGACAATTATAAAAATCAATTATTTATGAACTACATGAAACCCAAATGTAAAATCAGCTTGGACTTTACTTCCACACAACATAATTTTTCACTCCATCCCCATACCTACAAGAATATATTTATATCTAACCACTGTTACTATTTTTTATACACACACACACTTAAAAATATTTTTACAACACAATATTATAGGCTTATGTTAATTCTGTATATAAGAAAAGCTGATCTTTGGAACTAGGAACATTGTTAGGAGACCACTGAGACCTGGATATTATTCTATTTCTAAACATCTCAGAAACTTCATTTTTTCAAAAGATAAAATGATTTCACTTAAAAGGTATATTTTAGTGAGGAATCCACTAAGAATTAAGTTATTAGAAGGAAAAACTGAAGATTACATGGAACTGAACCATTCAGAGACAGATAAAATTACTGCTTGGTTAATTGCAAAGGATAACCTACAATATTACAAATGTCAAATTTCCTCATATTTGGGCAAAGTAAGAGAAACAAAACATAGGTAAAACATTTTGAAATCTGTTTCACAAATTATATTTAAAAAAATAATTGTTCTGGGCTGGGGATGTGGCTCAAGCAGTAGCGCACTAGCCTGGCATGCGTGAGGCGCTGGGTTTGATCCTCAGCACCACATAAAAATAAAGATGTTGTGTCCACCGAAAACTAAAAAATAAATATTAATTTTTTCTTTCTCTCTTTCTTAAAAAAATAATAATTGCTCTGAATTTTCTATTTAGCTTGTTTCACAAGCAACTTGACCTTTGTCATCACACACACAAAAACAAAAACAAAAAACCCAAAACAGCATCTAATGTACCATAATTTACTATTCAACTCTCATCTACAATAACATGTGTTGTGCTTCAGTTTGTGTTGATGAGGTAGATAAAAGCAGCCATCTATGAAAAAGACTGTCCAAAAAAGACATCACTTATTATATTAGAAAATACAACCTATACAGCAATGTCTCTCAACTTTTAATTCCAACACTTTTGATTAACAAAAATCTCATGGTCTTATGTTATTAGAAATTTTAAGATATGTTTTCCTAAAGATAAAACCAAAATATATTAAGTTATATAAAGAAGATACTCTTTGCTGAATTTCTAAAAAAAATCCATTGAGATTTTCTGCAAATACAAATATTCATTTATCAACTGAATGATGCAGGTATTGTCATTACTATCTTATTTCTATTAAAAGCCCAATCCAAGTTATAACATAAAATGACAAAAAATTCTTTCTAATTTTCAAATATCTTTAATTTTATATCTAAATTGATGAATGGTGGCAACCTAATGAAAATCTGAAATGAAAAAGGAATGGCATTCTCATTCCCTCATTCTCTTTTCATGCTTCAATTCCACTGGAAAGCACTAAGCTGAGGAGGTAAGAAGTTATAATGGTTCTGACTCTAGTATTCCACTAAACATTAGTGTAAGACCTGTTAGTGACTGCTATGAGGGCACTTTTGGTTATATACATGCATTAAAAAGAAATTAAGCCAAGATGCTTAGTCATTTTCCAAAGTTTTAAAAAAAAATTTAAAAATCATAACTATTTTTCTAAGTTGGGAATTAAAAAATTTTATCTGAGGAAAAAGTAAACAAGCACTTACTGATTAAAGTTTTCTCTATGTTTATATACTAATTGTAGTTTATTTTGCTTTTGCTTAAGAATATTATTAATCCACAGTAAGCATATTAATTAATCATTATATAATTTTTTACTTCATTCAAACCGTAAGGGCAAGGAGGAAAAGATAAATAAATGTTAATACTACCAGTGTCTCTAAGTGACTGAGGGACATAAAGAAAAGTCATGATAAGCAGAGTTAATACTTAGTCTTTGTGTGTGTTTTGTGTGTTGCTGAAGATGAAACCCAGGACTTCATGCATACTAGGCAAGTGTACCACTGAGCTACACCCCAGCACAAAATTTTTCAAATGAGCATGAACATGATTTTCTCCCATTCCTGCTTTACAAGGAAATGATTAATCATTTGGAAAAGATTCCAGATGACTTTGACATAAAGCTTTAAAAGAAGGAAGATTTTTTTTTTTAATGGCAAAACTAAAAGTATATAAAAATCTTAAACATAAAAGAGTCCAAGAAGACATAAAAGTGTATCTTAGTTTCTTACAACACAAACAAGTCCTCCAATTAGCATTAGTCCATCAGCACTTACTGTATTCCTGAAGGTTCAGCTCCTTTACTGCATGAATGTCACTAAGCTGAGCAATTCGAGCCTGGACTTTGGTTCTGCCCTCTCGACCTGTCATGTCAATTTTTTCAATCATTTGCTGCTGCTTATCAATCCAATAGAGCCAGTTTTCAAACACAGTTAGTCCCACAGGCTGCAAGATATTGGAGTCTTCTAACACTATCCTGTTGGCACCTTGGAAAAGGAGAACATTCAACAACAATGATTAATTTGGTCAAATCATACTTTCAACAATTATTTAATGAATATCAGTTAGACTCTAAAAGTATGGGAAAGGAAAGCATGAGCTCTTTACCACAAAGCTTAAAAATCCTGCTGAGTATATATACACACATCAGAAAACAGGTAATAAATCATTAATGTGCTATCAAGAATAAATAGTAAGCTGGGTACAGGTATACATACACCTGTGATCCCAGCTACTCAGGAGGCTGAAGCAGAAGGATCACAGGTTTAAGGTCAGCCAGGGCAACTTAGTGAAACCCTGTCTTACATTAAAAAATAAAAAGGGGGGCAGGGCTGGGATTGTAGCTCAGCAGTAAAGTGCTCGCCTAGCATGTGCGAGGCCTTAGGTTTAATCCTCAGTACCACATATAAATAAATAAAATAAAGATATTGTGTCCAACTACAACTAAATAAAATAAAATGAAATAAAACAAAAATAAAAATAAAAAGGGCTGGGGATATAGCTCAGAGGTAGAGCATCCCTGGGTTCATTACCAAGTACCACAATAAAGGGAGGGGAAAAAAGAGAGAGCGAGCCCAATAGTCAGTAAATAGTCTAGTTTATAGAAATGCAGAAAGAATTTAGAGCAGCTTATTTTTATTTCAGTAGAGTCTATTTTTCAAACTTCGTTTTATGAAAACTCTAAAACAGATAAAAGTGACATTTCTTTAAATGAAGCAGTGGTGGTGAGCCCAGTTTTGTGCTTGACACACCCTACTTGGAGAGACCATTTATGAAGAACACCTGGCTTCTCAGAACACAGAAAGAAGACTGACTCACTGGGTCAAGTCTCACCCCAAGACAAGAATTATTCCTATAACATCCAAAACACAGAACTATTTAGACTATGAAGAATCAACTTGTTTTATTGCTTGACAGTGTGAAAGTTCTTCCACAGAGGAGGCTGACATCTGAGTTGACATAACCCATTCATTTATTCATAGTTTCTCTCTCACTCAAAATAAATAAACAAATAAGATTCCCTTTCTTCATATTTCATGATTTCTAATTAATGAGTTCAGTTAAAGAAAGACATTAGCTTATATTTTAAGAATAACAAGGAGAGCTCCAGGAAAGAGGCAAGCACAATGCTAAATTTTAATAAATGGAGAATAGTGAGAAAACCAGACAGGCAGGCATTACTTAAGTCAACATTCATATCCAAGGCAAAGAGATTAAGAACAAGGTTACTTGTGCTCTCTCCTAATACTAAACTGGTAGTGATAAACAAAAACAATGCATAAAACCATCCTGAGGATCTGGAAGCACCAGGTATTTTAGAATGCAGCAAAGGGAGGATTTATATGGTTGGGGCTAGAAAAAGAGTATTAACTGAAAATATGTTCAAGTTAAATAGTTCCTGGAAATCCTCCCTTAGTCTGCAGAAGACTAAAAATAACGAGACCTTAATATACCAGGCAAAGGCAAAAAGTTAGTGCCATAAATGGATTATCACAAGGGAATCACTTTTTAAAAAATCTACTTTCTAATGATAATACCATTCCCAACATCTTTCAAAAACACTAGGCAGCCCACTTCTTCGTTTTTTTAGGTACCAGAAATTGGACTCAGGGGCACTTAACCACTGAGCCACATCCCCAGACTCCTTTTTATATTTTATTTAGAGGCAAGTTCTCATTGAGTTGCTTAGGGCCTCACAAAGTTGCTGACACTAGCTTTGAATAGGTGAACCTCCTGCCTCAGTCTCCTGAGCCGCTGCAACATCACGCCCAGCCTAAGTAGCCCACTTTTATCCTAATACAAAAGACTGGAAGAATTTTCTATAGGAAAAACTATTAACTAAAGAACAAAACAAACAAACAAACAAACAAACCCTGAAATACACTAAAGAAAATAACTTCAGACAGTTTTGCCTATGAGTCCCATTAGAACTCCAGGCCTCTAGAAGAAAGCCATTGTAATCAAAGCATATGCAAGCCTAAGTCAGCATTTTCAGTGCCTAATATTAAACAGACAACTAAGGATCACCAAATATTTAAAGAAAACCTCTGTATTAAAATTGAAACTGGCTGGGGTTGTAGCTCAGATGCAGAGTGCTTGCCGAACACGTGTGAAGCACTGGGTTCAATCCTCAGCACCATATATAAATACAGAAAATAAAAGTCCATTGACAACTAAAAAAAGAAAATTGAAACTAATTTTAAAATTGAAATAAAAGACAAAGACACAATTAAAAGCAGAAGAAAATAAATAAATCAGCCATTATAACCCTAAAGAACAGGATGCTTTGAGGGCAGAGCACTCAGAGGGAAAAAAACAAAACAAACCAGATTTTGCAAATTAAACACGATACTGGAAAATTTTTAAAAATTTGTTTTTTCAGTAAGAAAGCTGGGTGACAAATTTAAAAAGCTCTCCAAGAAAGCAGAAGAAAAAGAGATGTATAATAGGAGAAAAAAATATTTATAGCCAAGAAAGTTCAACATTATCAATATAAGCTATCTACCTTTAGTCACTTGGTAGTCATCTCTTTATATAAAACTATCTCAGTATCATAGTGCTTGTGTTCAAAAAACATTGTTTTTGCTTAATAGTGGCCCCAAAGTACAAGATGTAAAGGAGGTACAGGGCATAAAATATGGAAAGAGAGATTAACTCTAGTACTCTCTGACTATGCTACAGGGCATATAGGAAATAAATAGCATGGTGTTTGGTACTATCCAAGTTTCAGGCATCCACTGGGGGATCATGGAACATATCCTCTAAGGAGAAGGGGGAAGACTGTAGATCTATTCAAGAGAATACATTCGTGCAACAGAACTAAAAAGACAAGACTAGTGGATAAATAAGAATCTTATATATAATAAAAGTTGTAAAACAGAACAGAAAAGATGGATTATTTAGTCAATGGTGTTGAAAAACCAATTTGACAAATAGATTAAAAAAAAAAAAAAAAAAAAACTTGGTTCCTTGTAAGTAAGAGAAGACTCCTATATGTCTGCAAATAAAGTATAAGATCACTACAGAAAAAACTATGAAAAAGTACTAAAAGCTATTAAATAAGACCAAAATAAAGGAAGGATTCTCATGGTCATGGATAAAAAGATTAAATTTATTAAACATGCTAATTCTCCAATACATATGTTACTAATAATAAATTAATAATTTGAATACATAAAGAATTTCTAGAAATCTAAAACAGAAAAATGGCAGCTGGGCACAGTGGTGCATGCCTGTAGTACCAGCAATTCTGGAGCCTGAGGCAGGAGGATTACAAGTTCAAGGCCAGCCAGAGAAACTTAGGGAGATATTGTCTCAAAAAAATAGAAAAGGGAAAATTAAAATGAGCAGAGGCTATGAACAGCAAATTCATAAAAGAAATGTGAATTACCAGTAAAAATATGAGATTTTGTTAAACCTCACCAGAAACAGGATAATAAAAATTTTTATTAATGTAATATATCTTTTTAATTTATTAGACTGGCAAAAATCTGTAAGTCTGACAATAACCAGATTCTGGAGTAGCAGCTCTCATATATTGCTAATACAAACTTCAAATTGATATAATCACACTGGAGATTAATCTATACCTGTTAATAGACATATACAGATACACATACACATGTATGTCCACATTATATTTTAGAAATTCTACTAATAATATTAGGCCTTAGAGAAATGTTTACATGTGTGCACAGGGACATTTACTATAGTACTGTTTTGTTTTTTCCCTTTTTTTGGTGCTAGGGATTGAATTCAGCCTCACTTACGCTAGGCAACCACCTTACCCATGAGCTACATCCCCAATCCCCTGCAGCACTGTATTTTATGGCAAAAAAAAAAAAAAAATTTTTTTTTGTTTTAGATAGTTTGAATAGCAAAACAGACAACAGAATAAAGTCACACAATAAAATGCTATTTAGGCATTGAAAATAAACAACAGAGGTGTGGATAAACATGGATCATTTCAAAATCATAATTTTCCTGAAAAAAAAAAAAGCAACCTATAAAGAATACATGATGGGACTATTTATATTACAAAATGAAAAAATAAATAAATATGTGTGTGTGTGTGTGTGTGTGTGTGTATAGTAAAATAAACACAAACACCTCAAAACATGCATGGCAAAAAAAAAAAAAAAAAACATCAAAAGTTACCTCTGGGATAGAGAAGGAGAAGAACAGAAGGAACAGAAAGGGGGGGGGGTGATATTAGCCAAGTTATACTGTATGCAAATACCATCATTATGTATACCTCTAATGCACCAATAAAAAATGTTTGAAAAAAACAATAAAAGAAAATAGAGGTTAACTCACTGAAGACTAAAGTTAATAATAATAGTGTATCAGATAATCTCTTGATTATCAGAAGTTATTTCCCAAACTTTCTTTAATAAAAATATTTAATATTACTTTTTTTTTTTTTTTGTACTGAGGATTGAACTCAGGGGCATCCGACCACTAAGCCGCATCCCCAGCCCTACTTTGTATTTTATTTAGAGACAGGGTCTCACTGAGTTGCTTAGTGCCTTGCTTTTGCTGAGGTTGGCTTTGAACTAGCGATTCTCCTGCCTCAGCCTCCCAAGCCGCTGGGATTACAAGGGTGCGCTATGGAGCCCAGCTTGAACATGCATTACTTTAATAACAAAAACCAAACATCATAAAAGAAGAGAAAGAAAAGGCAAGGGTGTGGGAACATATCTTCAATACTAATAAAAGAGCTGAAACGTGGATATAAACAATTATTATACAAAACAGAGGTAATATAAGAGACATAGGAAAATCAGATCAGGGAAAGGATATACCATGCCACACATGTGAAAACACCTGTGTAACTATGTATATGAATACTCAGAATCAGAGAAAGCAAAGGGGGACTCTGGTACCTAAAGAAAGGACAAAATTGTTTTGTTTTGAATTTTGTTTTTTTGATATCAGGGATTGAAACCAGGGGCACTTAACCTCTGCGCCACATCCCCAAGTCCTTTTTAAAAATTTTTTTATTTTGAGACAGAGTTTCACTCATCTCCTGAGTGCCTCACTAAGTTGCTGAGGCTAGCTTTGAACTTGCAATCCTCTTGCCTCTGCCTCCAGAACTGCTGGGATTACAGGCATGTGCCAACACACCTGGCCAGAATTTGTTTTTTATTTATTGCTTTTTTTTTAAATTACAAATGTATTCAGAAATAAAAAAATTCATATAATACAATACTCTTCACATTTTAATATGTAAACATTCCAGACCTTTCTTAAGATATATTTGTTTACATATTTCAAAGTGAACATAAAGACATGCCCTTATTTCTTACTGATATATGTGTGTGTGTGTGTGTGTGTGTGTGTAGTGTGTGAGTGTGGCAGGGGGTACATGCATACATACTATATAGTTTTAAATTCTAAACAAAATTGGATCTTAATAAACACTGTTGCGTAATTTGTTTTAAAAATCATCCTCTACATCAGTGCACGCAGATCTACCTTAATCTTTTAAAGGACTATAATATTCTATACACTGATATAGTAGAAAGTTTCTCCATGAAAAATGATTACAAATGGTATTCATGAATGCCTCTGTACACTTGGGTTTATATTTCTCTAAGACACCCGTTTAAAAAGGAAACTGCCAGGAATCAAAAGGAATGCTTGTTTTAAATGCTGATAATTATTGGCAAATTACCCTCCATAAGGTTCTACCTATTCCCATTTTCACTAAACCATTTGAGAATATGTTATTTTCTAGCATTCTGGCCAATGTTAACTACAATCAACTTTAACAAATTTTTGTCACTCTGATAGACAAAGTGTATTATTTTAAATTAATTTCCCTAATCACTAGTAAGGTTGCATAAAATGTTAAGATATAAGAAATTAGGGTAGATGAAGTAAATATGATCATAGAGGACTACAGAGAAATGAGAAATTAAAGTATACCTTAAAAGTAAAGAATGATTTAATTTGGTTAAAATATGAGGAATGTAAAGGTCAAGTTAAGTTTGTAAAAGGCAAATATCAATTTATACCAAATTAAGTGTACATCTAGATATTTCTCCTGTAGGTTATGAGACTGTCCTGAAGATTTTTAGAGTACATTGATGACATTTGTAACCACACTTCTGGCTGGGAGCAATGGTACACACCTGTAATTTCTGCTACTCAGGAGGCAGTGGCAGGAGAAAACCAAGTTCAAGGCCAGCCTGAATAACTGAGTGAGAACCTGTCTCAAAATAAAATAAAAAGGGCTGGAGATGTAGCTCAGTGGTAGAGCACTTGCCTAGCATGTGTGAGGCCCTGGGTTCAATCCCCAGTAACACCCAAAACAAAACAAGAAAACCACATTTTAGATTATTATGTTTGTATATATAAAAAATTATGTTCATGGATGTTTATTTATATATATGGATACACACACACACACTTTTTTTTTTTAAAGGATATCGAGGATAGAGTGCATAACTGTATTTTCTTGTGGGTACACAGCATATTTCAGGAAGGATACATAAGAAACTGGTAACAACGGTTGCTTATTTTTTTAATATTTACTTTTTTAGGTGTAGACGGACACAACACAATGCTTTTATTTTTATGTGGTGCTGAGAATTGAACCCAGGTCCCACCTGTGCTAGGCAAGTGCTCTACTGCTGAGTCACAATCCCAGCCCCACACATACTTTTTTAAGGAAAATTTAGCAGGGAGACCATCAATCAGATGATGAGAACATGAACTAGAGGAGAACAACAAAGAGAAAAGAAAGATACATTAGAAATATACTATTACCCTATCAAGAAAACTGGCAAATAATTAGATAGTAAAAGAAAAAGCTTTTATCCAACCAACTTGATGTATACTACAGAAGATAAAACTACAAATAAATCTATCAGAAATACAATGCAAGAAAAATACAAATGCTACTAACAAACCATCTTAAAAACTCAAATCAAAATAGGAAAATACACTTCTTAAGTACCTGACAGATCACTGCTTTCAATTCGCCGGAGATCTGAGTCAGCCCAAAAGAGCTTGCCCAACCTGCTATCAAGAGCTAAGGCAACTGGTTTACTTAAGCCACTGAAAAAGAGGACCTCTCGTTCCGTTCCATCCAAAGCAGCCCGTTCAATTTTAGGAGATCTTTCCTGAAGATTGGTGAAGTACATATACCTGAAGAGTAATTAGAAGAAAATAAGAAGTTATCAAAGTAAGAAACCATGTAAAATAATAATATTCTTAATGATTAAGACAAATAGAGATGGCGTTGGGGATGTAGCTCAGTGGTAGAGTGCTTGCCTACTAGCATAAAGCTCTTGGGTCTGATTCCCATCACTATTAAAAAAAAGAAGATAAATGAAGGTCAACTAATATCTTTAAATCTTACTTTTAGATATCTTTAAATCTGTTTTAATTTATTTTTAAAAATTTTTTTAGTTGTAGATGAACACAATACCTTTATTTTATTTATTTTTATGTGGCACCAAGGATCAAATCCAGTACCGCACACGTGCCAGGCAAGTAAGTACTCTACCACTGAGCCACAACCACACCCCCCTAATTTACTTTTAAACTAATAAAAATTGTACATATTAATGGAGTAACATATGATGTTTGGATACATGTATACATGCATAACCCAGTATAACTATCTTAATTATCATTCAAAATTCTTTTTTCTAGCTTTTTTTAAAATATTGATCTAACTACAACTTAGTATTCACTGATTCACCTTTCCCCATTTCTCCCTCCCCATTAAAATTTAATATTAAAAACGGTCTTGGTATACTTCTACTTTCATAGAAGTAAAAAAGAACATACACAATTTCATAGGGAATTAACTTTCATAGATTTGAATGTAAGAGTATTAGATACAGTATGCCAATGTTTTCAGAATACTACAATAAAGAAGAAATCAGTGGCCAGAGAAAACTGGACATAAAATTTTAAGTTCCTTTCCTATTAATTACTAAAAATAAGTTATATATTAATCATTTCTTACATTAACTTATAGGTTTCATCCCTTTCCTGTAATTCTTTTTAAATAAGCTACTTTCCCTGCTGAATTCCTTATCTTTCATTCAGATGCAGCTGAGTACTGAATATTTATTAAATGCAAAGCTCTGTATTAAGTGAAAAAAAAAAACATTAATTCTTGTCATAAAGGAGTCTAAGGTCTAATAAGAAATATACAACTGAAAAATAGTTAAGTAGAAGACAAACTGAAAAGAATTAAATATGAATAGAGAGGAACAGACACAGAGCACTGGGTATCTAGGACAGAGGAGAATCACATCTGGCAGGAGGTAGGAAGACCAAGGAAAACTTCATGGAGGAAACAGGAGCTGAAATGGTCCTGAAGGTATGGATCAAATTTAGAACTAAACCAAGAAAGGAAATTCTAGGCAGTGAAATCAAAGAAAATATAAGAAAGCTGTTAAGAAAATGCATGGGCAAGTGGACAGAGAATAATGAGCTGTTCACAGGAGCACAGAAAATTTAAAAGATAAATAAAGAACTGAAAAGGAAGACTGAGAAGGGTCTCAGATGCAAATATATCTGAATGCCACTTTAGTAACATACCCTTTCTCTGGGTTTACCACAATGGCTCGAGGTCTGTCTTGCTCGCCTTTCAGCACCACTCCAATTGATCTTCCATCTAATCTGGTCACATTAATGACATTGGTAGCCTCACAAGTCCAATATATGTACCGGCTATAAATATCAATGCTGAGGTCATAGGGCTGTATTTCTAGGTTCTGATTCGGAACTGAGCTCACAATGACAGTAAAGCCCTAAGGAAAGAAAAAGTCACACACAGAAAGTTAAAGACTCCATAACAAATAGCCCTGAGGTATCTACTCAATGCTTCCACCTATGTGGTTACACACCTGAGAAGGAGCTCTCAAGTCTCTGGGAGCTTTTTTTACTGATACATTTTTTTATAGATAATGTACTTCTTTGTTAACATGCATCTCAAATATTCTGTGGGATTGTTATGGCCTAGGGCAGAAGAGGGAGCGGAGGATAGATTAGTTGCTCCAAGAACCTAATGATGCCTTGATTAGAGACAGAAGGAAGAAAGTAACAGCAGCCTTCAGCAAACTGTAGATTTAATGGCTAGAACCACACCCTACAAATACCTTTAGAGCAATGGTTCTCAACCAGGGATAAATTCTGTCCCTACAGACATTTGGCAATGTTTGGAAACATTTTTGGTTGTCACATCTATGGTGATGTTATTGGCAATATAGTGAGTAGACGCAAAGGATGCTGTTAAACATCCTACAACATGTAGGATAGCCCCCACAACTAAGATTTATCTGGCCCCAAATGTCTAAAGAGTTTAGAAACTGCTCTAGAAATGATAACACTAGTCAGGGCTACAAACCAACTCTATCAATCATCTCTTTCTCTAATCCAGAAACTCACCTCCAAATAAATAAAATAAATATATATTTTTTAACAAAGTCAATCATAGGAAGATTTGTCCATCTGAATAAAGTACATTTCCTTTACTAGGACTTTACTATTAACATCCCTTAATGAGGTTATTTAATTTATTTGCAATGTCCTTGGCTATATAATAACCATAACTTCTATCTACTAGTTATCAATCATTAATTCTGTCCTACCCAGTATAAAGTGTATATAGAATACACAACTATAACCTCACCCCTAAATGATCTTTCCATAGCTCTAAATATATTACCATCTTGTTCTTTACTGTTTGAAAAGATGTAACAAAAATTAGTAATTTAATCCCCCTAAATTTTAGTACATTCAAAATTCAATTTAACATCACTGCTATAAGGAAGACAATAGTTATATTTATTGTAATCCCAGTCTGCCTGGTCACAGAACGCAAGGAAGTTAAGTATTAGAGTGGTATATAAATCCATGACTAGTGTGTAGGCATAAGTAAGACTGACAATATTCTCATTCCCATCTCATAGTCACTAAATAATATTTACCAAAAAAAATTTGATCAATAGCACATCCTAGATGTTTTAAATTTTACAAAATTATGCTATATATGCTGTCCTCTGAACCTTTTAAATAATAGGTAATTAGTAATGTAACACTTATTTGTCAAGTCCCTATCATATAAAGGTAAGCACGATGTAACTTTGCATTTTTTTCAGTTAAAAAAATTTATGAGATTCCCAGGGAAGGAGAGAGCTTGGATCAGAACTAAGGCCTATTTGACTTCAAAACTTCTAACATTCCACACAAATGGAATCATAAGAAAAAAAAAAAACTATATAAATGGATGTGGGTAGCAGTGACAGTCATTACTGATATGTGAGCTTAAGTTCTCCTAATATAATTTCCATCCCAATACCACTGTCAAGTAATTGTTCACTCAGAAAAATCATCAGGAGTAAAAGAGAGCTACTAGGTTCAGAATTTCAGTCTCTGTCTCTGTCTCTCTCTGTGTGTGTGGCAAGAACCAAGTGAAATAGTATAATTGGTTAGTCCAATTACCAGTCAGAAAAAATGTATTTTGAACTGAGCCCGGCTAAGTATGGTGGCACACTCCTGTTAATTCCAGCTACTTGGGAGGCTCAGGCAGAAGGCTCACAAGTTCAAGGCCAGCCTCACCAACTTAGCAAGGTCCTGTTTCAAATTAAAAGGGCTGGTGACATAGCTCAAGAGCCCTTGCCTAGCATGTGTGAGGTCCTGAGTTCAATCTCCAGTATAAGAAAAAAAGACAGAAAGACAGATGGATGGACAGATGAAAGGGAGAGAGGGAAAATAAAAGAAAGGAAAAGAGAAAAGAAGGAGAGAGGGAAGAGAAAGAGGAGAAGGAAGGGGAGGGGAGAAATTAACGAACCCTGAATTACCTGGCTTCCATCTTCTTGAGCCTTTCGGATCATGTTTTGTCGTGAGTCAATCCAATATAGCTGCTTGTCCAGGGGGTCATAGTCAATGGCCCGGACATTTCGAAGGCTGTGGATGGGAAGGATGATGTCAGGACTCTGTTGTTCATCAATCACCATGCGATTGATAGCACTCTTTTGACTGAAGAGCAGGAAGGTGGTAGGGGCTTAAAAAAAGAAAAGAGCAAATCCAAAATATAGTTATTCTGAGTCTTGCATTACTCAAATATTTGACTAGACTATTGTATATTATTTCCTGCATACAATACAGACAGACATAGCAGGATTCAGAATACGCAATCCAAAACTCTCTTCAGAGCGACAATGACGAGCACTCTGGTTACCAAACCAGTTACCCAGAGACATAATCTACTTTTCTTCTTCTATCACAGATATCATAGGAGATTTCAATGAAACTTTTGATAAACGTAAACTTAATTCTAGTCCATCAGGTGAATAACTCTACTCCTCCTTAACCTATTCTTGTGTGTGTGTGTGGCCGAAAACCTGGGCCTCCATAGGTCAAAGAAGAATCTTCATTATTATTTTAAATTCAGACTGTTCATTATCTAATCATTTGATTACTAAGTCACTGACCCTCCCCTTGATCAAATTTTATCCAACTGTAAAATAAAGATAATAGCCACCTTGCCCTTCTCATTGAGTTGCTATAAAAATTCTATCACAGAAATGAAAACACTTTAAAAACTGGAAGCCAGGATATAAAAGTACAAATAGCTATTGTTTATTATTATCAATTATTATTAGTAGCATTAATAAACTTAGATTAACAAGAATTAGACAAAAACTCATGAAATGCAGATATAGACTTTATTTTGCTTTGTAGTGTATATGATGGCTTCAGGGAGAAAAGGCAGATAAAAATTATCCCAAAATTAATAATATAGACACTTCACATTTTTTTAAAATTTTTTTTATTAGTTATTGATGGACCTTTGTTTATATGTGATACTGAGAATCGAACCCAGTGCTTCACTCATGCTAGGCAAGTGCGTTAACACTGAGCCATAACCCCAGCCCCACATTCTTTATTTTTAATCCTCAAAAGAAACCTTACATTTATATTTTCACTAAAATAAAATTCTCCTTTGATGCTAAGTTGATTCCCTAAATTCATGAACTGGGAAAATACATTGCAAACACTTCCCTTTCCCAAGGACTAGGCTTCTGGTTATTATGTAATCACTTTTATAATAGGAAAACATCTAGAAAAGAATGCCAGTGATAACAACTACAAAATCTAGTAGCATTTTAAAATCCTCACTAAAATACAGCTGTCTCCCCTTATTAGTGGGAGATGAATTCCAAGACTCCCAGTGGATACCTCAAACACAGACAGTATTGAATCCTATATACACACACCTACCTATGATTAATTAACGCATAAATTTGGCAAGTAAGAGATTGACAATAAGAATAGATTATCAGAATAATTATAATAATATATTTTTATTAAATAATATTCTTTTATAACACTATATAATTTTATTAAAAATTGCCAGCATCACTACTTTCATGTTTGGGGGCCATTATTAAGTAAAATAAGTACAACTTGAATATAAGCACTGCAGTACTAAGTGACAAACAGGCAAGGTAGCATATACAGCATGGACATGTTGGACAAAGGAATTCACATTCTAAGTAGGATGAAAAATGACTTCATCATGCTTCTTAGAACTACATGGAATTTAAAATTTATAAATTCTAGGATGTCCCATTTAATATTTCCAAATGGCAGGTAAGATATCTGAAACATTGGAAAGTGAAATCAGATGAGAAGACCACTATGTGTGTGTGTGTGTGTGTGTGTATAAATTCCATAATTATATTCCATTCTCTCGGTTTCCAGTCATCACCTAAATCTAGTAGAATTTTGTCCTTCTCAGAAATACGAACATTAAAAAAAAAAAAAAAAAAAAAAACCCACCCCTTTGCAATCCAGAACTCATTGTTCAGTATGAGTTTGGATACACAAGCAGAAATGTCATACCTAAGATAGCTTATAGTGATGGGATACTAATAACTAAAAAGGCTGGTTTTAAGACTAACAAGTTGACAAAAAGAACAAGTCATGAAAGAAATCTCAGATACATTGATTCAATATTCCAATTTTCATACTAATATAAGAAAATGGCTTCTTTCTTAAAAGCTTCTATCCTCAAAAAATGATATGTGGAGTTGAAGATATATCTTACTGTGTTTGGATCATGTTTGTTTAACTGTCATATTGGCATTCCTGAGGGTGATAACAGGAATGAATATGATTTGAACTCACTGATGTTTAGAGAAGTTGCAGCAACTGAGAACCAGGCAGATCCATCTATTCCAAAGTGATACTAAAATCAATTACTTGAAAAAATTAGATCCCAAATATCTTAGATGAAGAATCCTGAAATCATTATCAATATGTGCATAATTCAAATGGAAATAGAAGCCCCCCATCCCCTGCCAAAGAATTGTGGGCTGATGGGACAACTAAATTAAGCATCAGTTCTTCTAAAAAGGGATCCTTCAGATGTACAACAAAACAATCACCCTGGGAAATTCCTTAAATAAAAAGTATTGACTTCAAACAAACAAAAAAATCCAAAAAAAGAGCCAAGTCAGAACTAAGGGCCTATTTTAATCTATGCCCCATTGTTTATAGCTCCACTACTTGTGGTTCTCTGGATTACTTTACATTCACACTTAAATGTATATTGACTTAAACCCCAAAGGAATTCATTTGCACTCACAAAAAAATTGATATTCACAACAATGAAATTCTGCTTCATTTAAGTTCTTCATTAATTAAAAGTCCATATTTAGTTCGGAAGCTTTAGAAAGGATGTCAATGATCTACTAGAATTCTACATTATGGAGCCCATCATGTATTTATTTAACTTTTAACAACTGTAATAAGAGTCCGGGCCTTAAGAACATTTCACATAAAGTAGCTGCAAAGTCTCCTACAACTTTTTTTAAGGACTGATTTTTGTCAGTAACATTCTTAGTAAATTTAAAGAAAAAAAGACTGTAAATTGATAAGTTTCCAACAGCATAAGCACTATGTAGATACTAAGAAAATGAAACTTAGCAGAAAGACCCCATAATCTTAGTTCCCAAATTTTCCTATCTGGGAAACAATTTATCAAATATACAGTTGGCTTCTAGTAGGATTTCTTCCCCACCCCCAAGACAAGTTTTAACCTTCAATAAGATTTCACAATTGGGTGCAGATCTTGTTCTAGAAATGCAGGTTAAGATGAAGCCAATTGTAACTCCAAGAAAATGCTTGTTTCAAAAACTCTACTCAAAAGACATTTACAATTACAAATGGTTACACTATTTCTAAAACTCAACTAATGTTCTGACTTATTTTACCATGAGTTGGGGGCTTGCAATGACACAGAATATGGCATTTTTAAAGACTAAATCCATTCTAACTTATGTAAACTCTAAACACAAATCCTCCATCTCTTGCACAATTGCTGCTTTAAAAATTATACAAGCATGTTGTCTGAATCTTCCATTCCCACAACAAAGACAGCAACATGCAGTAGTAGAATAGGATGTGTTGAAGGCACCAATATTTACTTGTACCTTAAAGGAAAGTGCTGCTCTTAGATGAGAACAGAATAAACTACAAAGTAAAACCCACCACATATGACTATGCCATTTGTGCATGCCAAGGGCACTGAGCAGGAACTGAAATTCAGCACACACTTCATTAGCCAAGTCATGCACCAGTAGGATCAAGTCTGCCCAGAGGAAACATCTTTTCCCAATCTGCACAAAGGTGCCATTGAGGCCACTTCAGTACTAAAAAAAGGGGCTGCACAATTTGGCTCCCTATTTCATCTCACTTAATCTTTTTATTCACTCTGCTCTAGCAACACTAGCATCTTAAACGTTCTTGTATTGTGTTAGACTTGTTCCTCCCAGGACTTTCCCATCTGCTCTCCCCTTTGACTTGACTGGTCTTCTCCCAGGTATCTCTATAGTTCACTTCCTTACTTGTTCTGACATAAATGTCACTTTTCAGTAAGGACTCTGCTGATCATCTTATTTAACAATCAACTCTGCTGCCACCACCCTTTCTTGCTTGTAATATTTCTACATAATATTTGTCACCATTTAACACTGATACAATTTATTTAGCTCATTATTTGTCAGAGTGGTAAGTTCTGTGAGGGCAGGAATTTATGTCTATTTCGTTCACTGTTTTCCATTCATGCCCAGTATGAATTAGGTATTAAATAAATATTCATTGAAGAAATAAATGAAGAAACACACATTTGATGACAAGGAAAGCCCTGAAGCCTTGATTTTTAAAAAAATTTTTTTAGTTGTAGTTGGTACAATATCTTTATTTACTTATTTATTTTTATGTGGTGCTGAGGATTGAACCCAGCACCTTACACATGCAAGGCAAGTGCTCTACCACTGAGCTATAGTCCCAGCCCCTATAGCCTTAATTTTTAAAGTAAGAAAATAAAATTGTTTGAGAGGAGGAAAAGAGGGGGAAAAAAAAAACTATCAAGGGCCTCCAACATGTTTCACAGGTACATCATACTGTTATTTAATAATTCCCAAGATTTCCTTTTTATAGGTGACCAAATCAAGGCTCAGAAAGTTAAATAATTTTTCCAAAGCCAAAAAGCAGTTGAGAGAAAAGCACGTGTTTTTGTAAAACCTATCTTGCCTTTTCATTCAGAGGTTATGAAGAAAGGGCATAGATTAGGTATGCAGGACTCACCAGCCCTTATGAGAGCTAGGTTTTTACTCTGTGTAAAATGGGGAGCACTGCAAGATTTGAGAACAGAAACAAGGTAGTCTGATTTAGATTTTAAAACAGGTCAAAGAGCAAAGGACACAATGTTAGAAATTTTGGAAGGCAAGAACATTGTGCTAAACTTCTCTTATAATATGCCCTAGAATCTAATATATTTCTACACAAAAATTAAATAGTACTCACTATGAAAAGAGCACACAGCAGGGCAAGGTGGAGCACACCTGTAATCCCAGTGGCTTGGGAGGCTGGGGCAGGAGTGATGATTTCAAAGCCAGCCTCAGAAATTTAGCTAGGTCCTAAGCAACTAAGCATGACCCTGTCTATAAAGAAAATATAAAAAAGGGCTAGGGAGTGGCTCAATGGTTAAGCGCCCCTAGGTTCAATAAACAGTACCCCTCCCCCAAAAAATAGTACACAATAAATCTCTTGAAACACTGCTTACATGTCTCAGAAAGGCAGTCAACAGATTTTAGGGACATTCAGCAGTGATTTCTCATGGCCCTTACCCAACAACCAACAAGCCTGGGCATAAGCAACTACAAGACTAATTTCTTCTTCCATTCAAAGCCAGATTTCTTCAAAGAGATGTCTATAAATACTTCTGCCTCTTCCTTTTCCTTTCATTAATTTTTTAAACTACTCAAATCTGCATTTTACCATTAATTCCCTGAAATCATTCTCTTGAGGGTTACTAATAATAATCTTACCCAAAACTCAAATAGATACTATTTTAAATATCAATATACTCAACCTCTCTGCAGTAGTCAATGGTCCTTAAAAAACAACTTTAACTCTTCTCTTCAGTGCCTCAATTCTCCCCTGCTTTTCTTCTTACCTCTGTAACTTTTCAGTGTCCTCTACAAACTCTCCCTTCTGAACCAGAGTTCCATAGGTTACCAGATCCTTTTTTTCCCTCTCCACCAGAAACAGGCAAACTATGGCCTATAAACCAATATAGCATGCTTTCTTCTTTTTTTCTTTCTTTATTTTTTTGGTAATAAAGTTTTACTGAAATAAAATAAAGTTGGTATGACAGAGCCTACATACCCACAAAGTCTAAAATATTTACAATTTGGTCCTTTATAGAAAAATTACCTTCTCCCTAGGTGGTAATCTCATTCATTTTAAATATACCTGGCAATTCAAAAATTCATACCTTTAATCTCATCTTTTCATAGCCTATCAAAAGTGACACCTAACTGAGATGTCATCTTTGCTTCTTCTCTTTTCTTTTCGCATAGAACCCTAAGTTCTATTCATTCTAGCTCCAAAGTATACCTTGAGACCATCATATCTCTCCTTACCACAGCCACCACCACAGTCTAAGTCTACCTGAATTACCATGCTATTCTTGACTTCCAGGCTACCCTTTCTTCTTCCCAGGAATCAGAACATGTATCTTATTTAATCTATACAACAACCCTATAAGGTATTTATTATTATCCCCATTTTTAAAATGAGAAAAATTTAGACTTTAAAAAATTTGTTACTTGTGTAAAGTAAAACACTAATTGTGACAGATTCAAAAGTATAATCTCTTAATCATTAAACTATATGGCTGCATTCTCTTTCACAATTGAATTCTTTATCAGAATAGATTAAATCTTTGCCTGTGTGATTTCTGATACATTTTCTCAGACACAGAACAAAGTAGTTAATTATATCAGTATCTTGTAACAAGTTCCTTATTTTCTCCCATATTAGCACATACCCTCTGTCTCCTATGAATCTACTTTCTGACCTCTACCCATTTCTTGATCAGACATACCAATTTTTTCATGTCTGCCTATCAAGACATGGGCTTTCATATATAATTAAGTCATATACCAAGTTTTCCCTAGCCAACAATGTTCTTCCATACACTATGCTGTTAGCACTGCATGTGTATAATGTTTATTGTGAATTACTTGCCAATACTTAAAAATGAAAAGACCCAAAAGACTAGATTTTTTAATAGATAAGAACACCAGCGGGAATTAAGCAGCACCATTCACTATGTTTGGAGAACATGTGCTCTCTAGTTTCCCATCTATTGACTATGTTGTAATACTGGGTTAAATTTTGTCATATGCATTTTCTTCCTGGCCTCATATGCAATTAAATTTTTGTTTGTCCTATTCTATACACTTTAAAGAACAGGAGGTTATGTTTTGGGATTCTGTTTGAGTACTATTTGTTCTGTTCTTCCCTTCCTTAATAATGAATAAATATGAATTATGTACAAACATGCATGCATGCATGCCTCTCTGAAATTATGTACATTTTACACTAAACATTAATACCCAAAGGTAAAAGACTTAACCTTTCTACAATATCAAGTTGCTATCATCAAATAAGTGACAAAAATTTGTATCCACCCTCCCTCTGGCCTTCCCATTAATTAAACAGATGACCAACTTGACATCCACAACTATTTACCCTAGAAAAAGACAAATTAAAGTATTTTCAAAATGCTGCTTACCACTACAAGTTCTATTATCAGCATTCAAGGAGTAGTGGGCAGGGCATCCACAAACAAAACCTCCAACCGGCACAGCTAAGCAGAGGTGGGAGCAGTGCCCATTGCTGGAAGCACACTCATTCCACCCTGCCTGCCGAGAAGAGTGAAAGACGAGGATGTCCATCACATAATCCAAATGGCCCTGAATGATGGTGCGGTTTTGGCCACTGGTTTTGTTGGCACGTTCAATGCTGCGTCGGCTCCAGTCCGTCCAGTAGATGTAATCTTGGTACTGAGTTAAGCCAAAAGGATGAGGCAAGTCATCTGCTATAACTTCACGGTTGAGTCCTATTTTTGGAAAGGCAGTAGACAGGGAAGATGTACAAGGATGAAATATGTGAAAATACAAGCATCTTGTTGTCTCCCCCCCACAAAAAAAATATTAATATGTAAAACATTACATTATAATAAAACAGAACAATTCATTTGAAAGTAACTCTAAAACCAGACTGCTTCTCTGAAATTAATCTATTTGTAGTCTGACCCCATGTCTCAAACTCATATTCCTACTATAAATAACTGATTAAATTCCTCTGAGTGGTCTTTTATTTTAGTTGTAGGTGAACACAATTTTTTAGAAATTGAATGGATTTGTCTCATGTTTCCAAACGAGTTTCATGGTAGACCTAGAACTAGAACCTCATCCTTAGCCAAATGCCCTTTCTACTAAACTACAACTAAAAAAATTATTTTATTTTTATTTGGTGCTGAGGATAGAACGTAGTGCCTTACACATGTGAGGCAAGCGCTCTATCACTGAGCTACAACCATAGCCCCATGAATGGTCTATTTTAATTGTGTATAATAAATATATTTATTATTATTTTTTACTGGTATAAAAATTTACTTCAGGACTAGAGGGATTTATAAATGTTATTACAAACCTAACAATAGTGAAATTTTTGCATATGAAGTAGATATGAATCCCAGTAGTTACTATTAATAATGATACAACTCCAGAACAGAGAAAGCAGCTAAACATCTATATGAAGTTGTCTAACCAATAATGAATAGCTGTCACTGATATTTGTGTAAAGAATATACTATCCCAGTAAAAAGTAGTAAAGCTTACCAAGCATATTGGAAGATTCTATTAAGTTGGTATCCAGGTCTGTCCAATAAAGCCTCCTTTTAGCATAATCAATAGTTAGGCCATTTGCCCGCCCCACATTTGGAACTAATGTAGTACGTTCACTTCCATCCATAGCAGCTCTATCAATCTTAGGTTTTCCACCCCATTCAGTCCAATACATAAATCTGAATCAAAACAATTAACAATTAACATTTCACTTTTGGCTTTCTGGGAAAACTGGTTATATTCATTCATAGTAACTAAATAAATTTAAAGAAATACATATCAAGAAAATGGGTAAAACAAATTTTCAACTAAATTTATTTTTTCACTTCCCCAAAAAGGAAGTGAGTCAGCTTTCCTTAGTTTTTCCAATGAATTTACTCCATCCAAACCTAGGAATTGGAAACAAATCAATGGTTTCTTTACTGCAGCTATGGCATTTATAAAATGACTATTCTTGAAAAAGCAAAAGATTAAAGCTCCAGTCTAAGAATCTGGTTCACTTTTGACTAAAATGTCTTTATGTGTTTTTTAATACAAATAACTTTAACTTTTTAATTGTTGAACTTAATTTATATAATAAGTTTGCCTCAAAAACAAGCTGCAGAAGTACATCAAATGTAAAAATAAACAATGAGTCTTTGAAAGGCTCAAGTCAAATGAAAAGCCTGAAAATGCATTTGATCATACCATCCCAGGGAACATATTGTATGTATAAGAACAATCAATCACCCTTGATGTGTCAGTGGGGTAATGAATACTACTACCATTATCCCTGTGAAATGTTAAGATTCCTTTTTTTTTTTTCTTTTAAGTTGTTCACTTTAATCTTAGAACTACCCCACAGTATAGGTGTTTTATAGATGGGGAGACCAAAGGACTAAAAGAAATTGAATGGATTTGTCTCATGTTTCCAAACCAGTTTCATGGTAGACCTAGAACTAGAACCTCATCCTTAGTCAAGTGCCCTTTCAACTAACCTAGGAAGATGCTAATTCTCAAGACACTAAATACTGGCACTAGGAAAACATTTCACATGCCAACTCTCAAGAAGTAACTGAGGAAAGACATTCACTCATCAGCCTGTCAGCTGATGGCTAACTTGGTAAAGGTGTATGAACATGCTTTCCTGAAAATTAGTCCTGGGCTTTTTTTTTTTTTTTTTTTTGTACTTGTCAGTTGAAAGGCATATGTACATCAAAAGAGCCAAAGAAAAACAACCGTGTAAGAAATTTTACCCTTGCCAGCAGCAACCTATATTAGAATTCTTAGTTCCAACTACTAAATTTATCTGAAAACTAACGCTTAGAACAAAGATCACCATAATTCCACAATATGTCAGTGCAGAGAGGTTGTTTTTGATGTGGGTTTCTGACTAGATGGACATGGTAGTCTTCCCTTATCCATAAGGGACACACTGCAAGACTCCCAGTGGATGCCTGAAACCATGACAGTTCCAAATACTATATATTTTAAGTTTTTTCCTATACATATATATTACAAAGTTTTATTTATTTCTTGGCCCAGTAAGAGATTAAGAACCACTAATTTTAAAAAATGGGGAAAATACTGTAATAAAGTTATATGAAATTTATGAACTGTTTATTTTTGAAATTTTTCATTTAATATTTTAAACCACGCTAACTGAAACTGTAAAAAGCAAAGCCCTGGGAAAGGGGGCACAACTATAGTAATTTCTTCAAATACAACGTTGTTTTAGTGAGTTTACTATCATAGATTTATAATCTAGTTATTTACTCTGGAAGTGGGAGCAAGCAAATACAGGTTGATTCTATGTTTAAAAGGGCTATTCTTTCCTTTATAAATACTTATCAGTAATATATGATTATGAATCCATTTTACTCTTTCTTCACCCAATATAAGTAACAACAGAAACAGACTTTAGTTAATAATTAATATTAACCAGTGAAATCTCAATTACTGGTTTTAGATAAAGCCTATCAGCTATTTAGTTGTCGTATAACTTATGAGCATTATTTAAGAAATCAAGGTCATGTTCCTCAAAATGTGCAATGTAGTTTCAAAAAATGCATATATAAAGCTATTTACCCTTCGGCAGGGTCCAATGCTAAAGCTCTGGGGCTATCTAAGTCTTTCCACACCAAAACTTGACGGTGTTGCCCATCCAGCTTTGACACTTCAATTCGATTTGTTCCCGTGTCTGCCCAGTATAAGTTCTTCCCAAGCCAGTCCACTGCCATGCCTTCTGGATAATCTAAACCAAACTCTACCACATGTTCCAGTGCACTGCCATTCATAAAGGCTCTGCTGATGGTCTGCAAAGATAAAATTCACAACTGAGTTACATGTTACAAGTATAAAACACTATTCAGAAAGGTTTGATCTGGCTATCTTGAAAACGGAAAGATGCAGAAATGTCAAGAGACATAATGATTCCTAATAAAATTCATATAGTTTACAAGCAAAGAAATATCTAATAAATACAATTGTGTGAGTTTTACTGCCACTTTAGAGAGAAAAATCATGAATAACTCTTAAAAAACAAAAATTTATTCTACTAAAACAATGGAATGAGTTTCTTAAAATTTATTAGTATCAGTGAAAAACATGTGATCATAATGCTGTAGACACTTTATTCTGGCTCCAAGAACTCATATTTTTTGCAAATTACACAAGAGTTTACACAAGGTATCTGAATGAGCCCCCAACAAACGGGAAAAAGGAAAAATTACATTCCAGATTTTAGTAAGGAGTTTCTCTTTCTATCCCAGTATGCTTCTCAATATTTAGTCTAGGAAAAAGAATATGAAGACATGCTTTAACTCACAAATGGCACTTTCTACCTTTCAGGCTTCAAAATTTTGTTTAAATTAAATCAAGAGTGAAGCCTCTATAAGCCACTTTATGTGAAGCATACAACTCTTTACTCAGTTAACTGCAAAAAATAACATTTATCATCCTTAAATATAATAAAGTGGATAAAGATTATGTCTTGCAGATTCAGAACCACTAGCAAAGTATGTTGCATAAAAGGCTCCTAGTAATATACTAAGCAGGCTTTCCCCTTCACTTCCTTACAAAAGTTAAAGTCATTTGTTGAACTCTATTGAGCAATGAGAGAGAGAGAGGCCATAATAGCATGCAGATTCAGAAATTCAAGAAATTCTCCCTCTTAGTCTCAGCTTTAATACTCCAATTCTTTCTGCTAACCTTGAGTGATATATCAGTCCAGTAAATTCGGTTGTCTGTTACATCAAAATCCAAAGCAGAAGCTTCTTTGACACCAGTGAGTGGAATGGCCACATTATTATTGTTTGTTTCCAAAGAAATTCGTCTGATATCTGCTCTCCGTGAAAACAAAAGAAAAGCCTCTGGGACAATGCAGGTCTTCATGTCACTGATGAGTTCAAAGCCAATGGGACAGGCACAGCGAAGGCCCTGAGGTCTATAGAGGCAAAGATGGCTACATCCCCCATTTTCCTCAGCACAGGGATTAGAACCTAAAAGATTAAATTAATTTATGAAAGGGCACAGAAGGACACACATGTTGACTAATCAACACACTTCACTTCTGAATTAATACATATTTGATTCACAAAGACCTATGACTATGTTGCTCCCAATCTAGAGTTCTAATTCTCTTCTCAAAAAACAAGCAATTTGAGGACTAATAGAGAATAAAAGTATAGCAGAGTGCCTTCCCCCAACCCCCCATTACTGGAGATAGAACCCATGGGCACTCCACCACTGAGCTACATTCCTTGCCATTTTAATGTTTTCAAACAAAGTCTTGCTAAATTGCCCAGGCTGGTCTAGAACTTGTGATTCTCCTGCCTCAGCCTTCTGAGTAGTTCAAATTACAGGCATGCCTTATCATACCTGGAACAAAATACTTTCTTTTGTACAGTAAGCTTCAAAATAAGGTGCATTACTCACACCATAGAATTAAATTATTTTGATGAAGGTGTATGAATGCTTATTCATGTGAATTTTGTCCCTTAATTCAAACTGTGAGGCCAAGAATGGTAAGTCAATGTGAAAAAATTAAAGATTTCTATAATGCCTCAAACATCAACAATTTACACTGCTGTTTCACAAGCTGCTAACTATCTTTTCTAGTTTCCATTTTTAAGATATTCTGTACTTACTTACCAATGATTCGATGAACATTTGTGGCCTTTAGTCCCATGAGGTCAGGCAACTGATCTATGATGATTTCCCTCTCTGCACTTCGCTTGTGTACTCTTTCAATGCTTCGCCTCTGCCAGTCAGTCCAGTAAACATAGTCACCCAACAAAGTAAAACCAAATATGTGAGGAATTTTGTCTTCCACTAGTACTCGTCTTCCAGTGCCATCAGTATTCATAACCTTCAAGTTTAAATTTGAAGAGGATGAGGTATTTATCTTTCAAATGTATTTTACAATGAGATATACAACTGCTTATTCAATCAAAATCCAAGAGATATCCTAGTTATTCCTATTGTATCAGGATTTAAAGGCTGCTTTTCACTTGGGCCTGCAAGTATCATGGGCAACTAAAAGCAGGAAAAAACCATGGCCTCTCTGCCTTCATTTTTGCCTGTCTCCTTTGCTACCTTAATCTTCACGGTAGCAGGAAAATGAGATTCATGTGAAGTCACACAGTTTGTAAACAGTTAATGTGTTCTTAGGATTCTTTCCACTTAGCATGCTTTTTATTTTGTTGTTATTATTTGGACAACAACCGCCAAAAAAAAAATTAACACATAAAAGGGGTCTCAATAAAGCTCTTACTCCCCTAAGGTTACTATCACAAAGGTATCTAGAGTTTATGACACCCTCTCTGCAATTAAGTAACAAGTAAAGCTGGTAATCCTTTCTAAAATAAAAGTTTGCAGGGACATCATAATTAACAGGTTTTCAAATTCCACTGTAAACAATGCCTGTAAAAAAATGCCATTGTAAACAATGTCCTGTACCAAACCTAGCACCTAGAAGTCTCCAATTATTGCCCTGAACATTAAAGAACTAACACTATCTTGCTTTTTGGCTCTGTCCTTTTCTCTGAGTCATTCTCTCCTGAAGTCAATCTGGATTCCAGATTGTGATAAATAGAAATTACCCACCAGGATCAGCAGCATTCTAAAGCTCAGCCTGACCAATCAGGAGATAATGATCAACCAAACCTCAGTCTGACCAAGACTGCTTAATTATGCATACATGCCTCTGTGCCTTATGCCCTAATTCTTCCCCTATTTAAGCCCTAAACTCTTGTCAGTAACCCCAAAGATGGGGCTGAAGATACTGGATTTTCTCGATCTCCCCAAAATATCTATACTGAATAAATTCCTTTCTTACTTCACCAATACCTTTTTTGTTTGATGTTTGGGGCAAAGTGCCCAGACTTGGTTTACTGGGACTCCTAAAAGTCAGGCCCTCTCTGGCCTAAGACTCTGGTAACACTATTAACAATGCTTTCACAACATCATGTTTTAATGAGAATTATTTCAAATACTCATCATACACAAACATTTTCCCCTTCAATCTCTTATTGCTCTTCCTTCCAAAAATTCTGGAAATTTTAGATTTAGTATGCAATTCTTCTATTAAATGAAAATTTAAAATACAGGGAGTGGCGGATATGGCAGTGCACGCCTATAATCCCAGCAGCTTGGGAACCTGAGGCAGGAGGATTCAAAGGTCAAGGTCAACTTCAGCAATTTAATAAAACCCTAATCAATTGAGACTGTCTCAAAATAAATCATTAAAAGGACTGAGGTTGTAGCTCAGTGGTAAAGCATACCTAAGTTCAATTTTCAGTATCAAAAAAAAAACAAACAAACAAACAAAAAAAAAACCCAAAACCAAACTAAAACATGGAGTGATATTGACCAAATTATATTGTTATCTGCATATGAAACAATAAATCCCAGCATTATATACAACTATGATGCATCAATTAAAAATTTGGAAAAAATTTAAAATGTACTGGGATCACCTTAAGTTTCTGCATTTGTTTTCAAATTATAATTTGGGGAGGGGACATATTCCTGGGGATTGAATTTTATGGCTACTCTACCTCTGAGCTACATCCCTTTTTATTTTGAGACAAGGTCTTACTAAGTTGCTTAGGACCTTGCCAGGTTGCTGAAGCTGTCCTCGAATTTGTGATACTCCTGCCTCAGCCTCCCAAAATGCTGGAATTACAGGCCTGTGCCATCATGGCCAGCATGATATATCTTAACATACATTACCACATAAATTGTTTTACAACTTATTTTAGTTCCATCCTAGGAGTTTTGCCTTTTTTACATCTTAGGAAACAGATTCATATGAAGCCATTTAGCTCATGAACGATGTGTTTTAAGGACTCTTTTCATTCAGCATATTTCTCATTTTATGTTGTTATTAAAACAACTACCACTGGGGCTGGGGATACAGCTCAGCTGGTAGAGTGCTTGCCTCACATGCACAAGGTCTTGGGTTCAATCCCCAGCACCACACACACACACACAAAAAAAAAAAACCACCAAAGAATTAACAGATAAAACTGGTCTCAATAAATCTCTCTTTCCCTGAGGTTGTTATCATAAAAGTATATGGAGTTTAGAATCTGAGTACCAAAAACAAAGATAAACTAACATCTCCAATCACCCAACAGCAACATTATTAATTTTTTACACAGCTGTTTTCAAAGATGGAATAACCCTTCCAAAATACCAACTTTCAATCCTCAACTGAGACTATTCCTACCATTTAAAATAGCCTGTGTGGTTGGCAAATTAGCCTCAAAAATGTTATTCTGGTACTAAACACATGTACACATGAACCACATCTGTCCCCCAATGATGCCAAAAAAGGCATCAGATGTAAGCTGACATACAAATATTAACTTTTTTAACCCATAAAATTAGTAATAGTCCAGGTAACTCAACACTATTATTAACTAAATGGACAGATATTATCTTTATCTCTCCTAAAAACTTAAAAACACTTGCTGAACATCTAAGAACAGACAAACCCAGCACTTGGAAACTGATCAAGCAAAACTGTCTTATATCCTTACATTTTCATTAGCAAATTTCAATAAATATTTGGTTTATATCTGATGGAAGAGACATTTTACTAAATCTGTCTATATCAGACATAAAAACACTTATTAAGCCCAACTATATAAATCTGTACTTAAATTAGTTTTCCCAAAGTCAAAAACATAAGTAAAACACTAAATACTCATCCAAATCCCATTTCTCTTAAAATTATTAATTTCTCTTTAATTTGAAACATAAATTTATTTTTAGACCCTTCCTGGATATGTTTTATAATATGTATATCATATCTTAAAATTTTGGGTCAAATACCAAAACAATGTGAAAGAGTAAAGGACTAAGAAGCGAAAAGGAGTTGAATATTTGTTTATGTATCTGATTAGAACTTGAGTTCTAGGATAACAGGAACCTCAAATTCATTCCACAGTTCCCATCAAAGAGCCTGTCAAAAAACTATAAACATTTTTAAAATGATTTTTAATGGCAAATAAGTTGAAATTAATACATTTATTATAAATAAAACATTTATTATAAATAATACATTTATTATAAATAAAACATTTATTATAAATAAAATAGCCTCTGTTTCTGTACCTATCTTTTAAAAACCTTTTGTGCTTTCTTAACCTTGAATGTTTAAAATGGGTACTTTAAACACTTGGCTTCTCCAACTACAGGGTTTAAATGGTGCCTATCTGTAGAAAAACCCCCTGTGTCAGAGAAGGACTAGGGAGAATGAAGACAACACATGTGGAACAAAATAACTGTTGATTAAGAGAAAAAGCATATTTAATTGATTACCATGATTACTATCATCATCCCTATACAAAGATCCCCCCACAGCTCTTGTAGTTTATCAAGGCTCTTATAAGTAGTATCTATAAAATGCAAAGGACTTGAATTTACATTTTAAAATGTCAATGCCTATAATGCTAGAAGCAGGATCAGAGCCTCACTAGAAACCTCAGTTGTACAGAATTCCTAAGAAACCTTCTCTAAAAACAGGAAGGAAAATGTACTTATATAATATTCTTATCCTCAGATCCTATAGTTTTGCACTGAACAGTGTTCTTGTCCAAAACTTAAATCAATGTAAAACAATGGCATACCATCCACTTCTGGAGAACAGATACATTCTTCACTCCTCTTAAAAGCAGAGTTCCTATAAAAAGAATTTCTGGGGCTGGAGTTGTAGCTCAGCGGTAGAACCCTTGCCTCATACATGTGAGGCACTGCATTCAATCCCCAGCACTACATATAAATAAGCAAATAAAAAATAAAGGTCCATCAACAACTAAAAAAAATAATTAAAAAAAAAAAAAAGAATTCCTAATCCTATTTAATCATTGTTGCCCAGAAATTCTAATCAGAGTGAAAAAACAAAACAAAAAACTTTCCTTTACTAAATATTCAGTTTAGGAAATTTTAGTAGGGGAAGTTTACTTTAAAACTTATTTTTGCCCCCATTCTAATAAGGAGATTATCTCGTCTCAAGTGTCTTTTCTTCAACCCCTCTTTCAAGGATTTCTAAATACATTTTTTCTTCCCAGAAGCTTTAATTTCCCCCTATATAGAGCCCCCTTCCTTTTTGCCTTTAACATACAGAAATTCTCCCATCTTAGAAAGATACTGTCTCTAAGTTAAATGACTCTGTGCTCCCTTTGATAACTACTCCACTGTTGTTACTGCCTTATTCCTTGAATATGACCTGTGACAGCTGCCTCCACCTTTTAACATTAATTCCCTAAACTCCTTGAGACTGGCCTCCAACTATTACTCAGATGAGATAACTGCTGAAAATGGTCAAAGACTACTTTCTGGGTTTTTTTGTTTGTGTCTTTGCTCTTGCCTCTTTTTAATAGTCAATATTCTTCACCACCCACTAAAACTCTTCACTGAGCTTCTATGGCACAATATTATCCTATTTCTTTTTCTATAACCAGGACTGCTTTTTATCTCTTTATTTCACCAGTTTCTCTTTCCTTTTTTGAAGATTTCCTGAATTTTTCTCTGTGAAACACCTTTCAAAGAGCCTACCATGTTCTATAGTTCTGCTATTACCTCATTTTTAAAACTGACAAAATCATAAATTCTAGTCTAAGGTCTGGGCAGTTTCTATTGCAATATCTCCATCTGCAACTCCAAGAAAATGTATTGATACCACATCTAAAATGTAATATACTTACCAGTGGACTATGTTCTCTATCAGAGGGAGTTTATCATCCTTTTAAAGAGCACCCAACACAGGTGCTAAATAACTTTTTATCATAAAACTCTTTAACTATTACTTATAAACTTATGGGATATTTAAAAAATTCTAATTTTCTGGGTGTGGTAGCA